GTGAAGAGGGTGATGTAGTATTGATTTCTCAGTGAGTGTCTGGCCAGCTGGCCCGAGTTTCATCTCTCTGTCTCCTGTTTGTCCGCCTCCTCTCATAAACCTGGGAGACTTGCAGTCGTCTCTACCATTACGATCAACTCGCATGGGGTTGACTTTGTTCATTATTTGTGAATTACTAATCTATTGCTTTCTTTTATTTGTAGGACAGATACTTAAAGCAGTGCTTCTTGATTCCAGTGCGGTCTATACATGGACGTCTGTCAGCTGACCAAACATTTATTGATTAATCTATGTTTCCAGGTACATGGCAAAGAAGCGTGGGACCACCTACACTCCCTGTTCCTACTCTCAGCTCGTCCTCTTCCTGTTGACCGCCTGCAGTCATTGGTCACTCTGCTGTCACCACAGTCTCAGCAACCATCGCTCTCCCCATTATTGACCCTCAACCTGTTAGTCCACTTTGCTGTGTTTCTCCAACAATCCCTGAGTGCAGCAACAGAAATCTTACAGACGGTGAGAAAACAACCTTTTTTTCACCACAAAATGTGTTTTCAGTAATGTACATTTTTAATGTATTTAAAATATAACATATAATGCACAACAATACTCACACATTGGACAAGTGTGTTATGCTTTGTTTCTTTGTTTTTTTATGTTTTGTTTTTGGCTAAATATTAGTTGAGTTGTGCATAGCATATTATTTATTACTCAGACTTTTATTCTTAGAGTTAAATGTGTGTTATGCCTTTGTGCAAAGTCTCTTATTCCATGCACACCACAGTTTGGATGTTGAATGATTGAATGATTATTTAGAGCGCTATAAAGTACATATCTAGAATCATATAGTGTGCTGTTGAATTTGATATTGTAATAAATCACAAAGAACGAGTCGCTTTTCTTTTTGAAGCTCTATGGCTCTGTCACAACAAGCACTATTGTTGTTGTTTTTTGTCTTTGTGTGTGTGTGTGTGTGTGTGTGTGTGTGTGTGTGTGTGTGTGTGT